CTCCAGAAGGCCCCTAGGAACCCCCTTTCCCCCCTTCCCCGTAAGAGAAATCACTGTCCCAACTGCTATGGCAATCACTTTTATTTTTTTGTTTTACCACCCAAGTTTATATCCCTGAACACTATAGTTTTGCCAGTGTTTGAAACTATGTTGTCTCTCTTAATCTATAGGTTCTTCCTTTTTCTCTCTTCCTTGAAATTCATTTGTTGTAAAAACTATCATTTGTCCCGTGGAGTTTCCCATAACATGGATTTTGTAATTGTATTCCTTACAATTTTAAAATCCTTAAAAAAACGGCATAGTTTCTGTCTTCTGTATTTACTGTAAATTGATAATTGGATCTAGAGGTTCAATCAGAATCAGGCCCCATTTGTCTTTTTGCCAAGACTTCATCATAATAAAGTATTAGGTTCCTCTACAGAAGTACATAATGTCTGGGTCCCTTCTGTGATATTAGCAGCTATTGATTTTCAGCGCATAGATCTATTAGATCATTAGGGTTGCAAAGTGGTGATGTTCCAAACAAAAGGAATTCTTTATACATTCTAGATAGCAGTTGTCACTTAAGTGTATCACAAACATTTTCTCTGATTCTGTGCCTTTTCACTTTTTTTAAAAAGTGTCTTGATGAACAGAAGTTGTTTATTAAAAAGTGCTTAGATTTAGCAGTCTTGTTCTTTACGGTTAATATGTATTGTGTCTTATTTAAGAAATCTTTTAGTCACCAAGATAATTAATTCTGTAGTTTTTGCCTTTCAAAGTTAGGTTTTTGATTGACCTGTAATTGATTTATTTGTATATGGATACAATTTCTTTTCTTTTTTTTTATATGGACACTTAGTTCCAGTTCCATTTATTGGGAAGTGTGTTCTTTTAGTCTTTTGACACTGTTATATCAAGACCTCTATGTATAGGACGGTTTTCTGGATTTTACTCTCTTCTTTTGGTAATCTTGTCTATTCTGATGCAAGTACCACACGATCTTGATTATCATGATTTTATAATATATATTATCTCCTATTTTTTGCTGCTTTCTCATGTATCCTAGCTCTTCTTGATCCTTTGTATTTTCGTATAAAGTTTAGTATCAGCTTGTCAACTTAAAAAAGAAACCTGTTGGGATTTTTATTCTACTGACTATATAAATCAATCTGGAAAGAACTGACATCTTAACATTGTTAAGCCTTTTAACCTATTAATCTATAAATCTGTATTCACTTACATTTTTAATGTTTTTTGATAAAGCTGTATTCCTCCATAGGGAGGGGTCTTGCACAACTTTTATTAAATTTATTTCTAGATACTTCATATGTATATGATATTTTGTATTTCTCTTTTTTTCTAAGTAGTATTTATTCAAATGTTTACTTTGGTGCTTTATTTTTTTGTATTTCATTTTTTGTGTTTGCTTGTAATTTATCCATAGATTCTTTTCGATTTTTTATATTGATTATCATCATCTTAAATGAGAGTGTTCTTTCTTTCTATGTCTTAGAATTTTCATTTCTTTTTCTTGCCTTATTGCAGTGGTTCAGACCTCCAGCCAATGTTGTTCAATGAAGTGGTGATAATGAATATTCTTTTCTTGCTCCTCATCTCAAAGGGAGTTTTAGACATTTTCCCTTTAAGCATGCTTTTTGCCTTCAGCTTTTGTCAGTTACACTCCTTGCAGAGATATTCTCATATGGCTTTCTAAAAAGTTGATGATACCAAGTTACATTATAGGACAGAATGCTTTACAATTTAATGTCGTCTGAACAGCTCCTATTTCCCTTTCTATCTTCTGCTCAGCCTTCCTCATTAGCCAGTATAAATCATTTTTTAGTGGATGTTACTGTCATATTAGCTGCTGAGGGAATGATAATGAAAATATTATTTTGGTCATGCTCTTGAAGGTCAAAGCCTAGGTAGAATGGGAAAGTATCCATAATATTAAAGTAACACAGGTTTTAAAAGATCAAGATGATACATACAAACTGTCACAAAACATTGAATAATTAACATTAAATAATCGTCAAATGAGGTATAGATAGCAAATACCATAAAAATTAGTTTAACAAAGGAGAAAGTACATTTATCAGAGAAGTCTTCACAGAAAAGAAAGAATATATTGGTTTTGGGATAGTCTGAAAAGAGTGTAGAAAGTATGTATTGTACCTTCTGTGTGTGTATGCACCATGATAGTTAAACAGTAAGATCAATGAGAAATATATTTTTATGCCACGAGCTATGCAAAGAGAAATAACAAAGTCCTTATCCAGTTGAAGAGAGACTGTATATATTTATAACAAAGTCAGTGAGAGGACTTGCTATAAAGAAGTAGCAAAATCAATAGGAAATCAGAGATTTCCTTGGCAATCAGAGAGAGAAAGATCATAGGCACTTGGGAAAATCCAGAAAAATATTTTAGGGAACTCATGTTCAAGATGGAGCTTGAAAGATAAATAGGATTTTTAGTAGGCACAAAAGGGTAACACAGTGGAAGACCCTAGTACAGGAGGTGGCAAACTATAGCCCCGCAGGCTGACCACCTGTTTTAACAAAGTTTTATTTGAACACAGCCATGTTGTGAATATATGGTCCGTGAGTGCTCCCATGCTATAGTGGCAGAGCTGAGACAGACCGTATGGTCTACAAAGCCTAAAATATTTACCAGCTGATCCTTTATAGAAAGTTTGCTGCCCTCTGCAAGTGGATAAGATGTAGGTGGGAGAGCATTGTAAACTATTAAAGAAGCGAAAATGAGATTTTTTTCCAACCTAGTTTAACTTTATTTTTTAATATAGTTTATTGATTATGCTATTACAGTTGTCCCAGTTTTTCCCCCTTTGTCCCCTTCTGCTCTGCACCCCCTGTTCCCTGCAGCAGTCCCCTCACCCCTTAGTTCATGTCCATGAGTCATGCATATAAGTTCTTTGGCTTCTCCATTTCATATACCATTCTTAACATCTATTTATTTTGTACATATCAATTATGCTCCTTAATCCCTGTACCTTTTCCCCCATTCTCCCCCTTGCCCCTCCCAGCCAATAACCTTCCATGTGGTCTCCATATTTATGATTCTGTTCCTGTTCTGGTTTTTGCTTTGGTTTTTTAGATTCAGTTTTTGATAGTTATGAATTTGTTGCCATTTTAATGTTCATATTTTCAATCTTCTTTTTCTTAAATAAGCCCCTTTAACATTCCATGTAATAGTGGCTTGATGGTGAATGAACTCTCTTAGCTTTACCTTGTCTAGGAAGCACTTTATCCTCCCTTCCATTCTAAATGATGCCTTTGCTGGATAGAGTAATCTAGGTTGTAGGTCCTTGCTTTTCATCATTTTGAATACTTCTTGCCAGTCCCTTCTTGCCTGCAAAGTTTCTTCTGAGAAATGAGCTGATAGTCTTATATGGGAACTCCTTTGCAGGTAACTCTGCTTTTCTCTTGCTGCTTTTAAGATTCTCTCTTTATCTTTAACCTTTGACATTTTAATTATGATGTGTCTTGGTGTGGTCCTCTTTGGGTCCAGCTTATTTGGGACACTCTGTGCTTCTTGGACTTGTATGTCTATTTCCTGCACCAAATTAGGGAAGTTTTCTTTCATTATTTTTTCAAATAAGTTTTCAATTTCTTGCTCTTTTTCTTCTCCCTCTGGCACCCCTATGATTCCGATGTTGGTACATTTGGAAATGTCCCAGAGTCTTCTTATGCTATCCTCATTCTTTTGAATTCTTTTTTTCCTCTTGCTGTTCTGGTTGAATGCTTATTTCGTATATTGATTTGAATCTTGGCTTCCTCCCTTTCACTGTTGGTTCCCTGTAGATTTTTGTTTATTTCACTTAGTGTAACATTCATTTCTTCCTTTATGTTGTTGCCGTCTTCAATGAGTTCTTTGAGCATCCTGATCACCACCAGTGTTTTGAACTCTGTATCTGATATGATGAGTGTCTCTGTTTACTTATATTTCTGGGGTTTTGGTCTGTTCTTTCATCTGAGCCATATTTCTTTGTCTCCTCAATTTGGCAGCCTCCCTGTGTTTGTTTCTGTGTATTAGGTAGAGCTGTATTGACTCCCTATCTTAGTAGCGTGACCTATTGTAGAAAAAGCACCTGTAAATTGTGTGTGGTGGAGCCTTAGGGAATTGCCAGGGCAGGGCAGGGCATTTCACTGCTTTGTGGCTCTGTGGTGGGGGGAGGGCTTGGAGCAGGGACTGCGATGCTGTCTGGCTTCAGGAGGTTTGCCCGGCACCCGCCCCATTTCTAGTCACTTCACCCACTCCCCGTATGTGACTGGCACCCTTCCAGCTGTTGCCCTGGTGCCAAATCCCAGTGTGAGTGGGTTTGCATATGTTCTAAGACCATGTGGGCCCTTTAAGTGGCGTCTCCTGAAAATCTGGCAGTTTCTTTTGCCACCCCAACCCCCACTGGTTTTTACAACCAGAAGTTATGGGGATTTATCTTCCTGGTGCAGCTGGAACCCTGAGCTGTATGGTCTGGCCTGGGGCTGGGATCTCTTGCTCCAAAGGTTTGTGTCCCTATATTTATCCACCACACATGAATGTGGGACCAACGGGTTCTGCTCCACTACCTCTCTCTGCCACACTGAGTCTCCTTGCCTTTCCTCCTGTCTCCGGGTCTCCACCCCTCCTACCTGTCTGGATAATGTGGCTTCTTTAAATCTTTGGTTGTCAGAGTTCCATACAGTTCAATTTTCTGACAGTTCAGGGTGTCACCTGTTTTGAGGTTTAGTTGTACTTCTCTTGCACAAGGAGGTGAAGCGTGTCTGCCTACGACTCCATTTTGACTGGAAGTTGAAAATGAGATTTTTTTTATAGTTGGGGGGAAGTCAGTAATAGAAAGGTGGGTAGTTAAAGAGAAGGTTTGCCTTGAGGGAATATAATAGGGAGACCATTAATAATAGAGCGGAGGCGAGGGGCCTTTCCAGGATGGGACAGTAGTTCAAATAGGCATAGGTGTGGCTTGTTCTTAATCATACTTTTCTTATCTTTTCCTTTCTAGCCAAGAAGGATCAGGAAGGTGGAGAAGAAAAGAAATCTGTACAAAAGAAAAAAGTAAAAGAGTTAAAGGTGTTGGATTCAAAGACAGCCCAGAATCTCTGTAAGTAACTCTGTGATCTGAACTACTTGAAATGTGAAGGATTTCTTCTAAGAGCTTAATTTTGGTGAATCCAGGGTCCCTTGATATGTGAAACTTCCATTGGCTGAGTTCCTGCTGTATGCCAGACATTGCATAGTGAATTTTTGGTCTCATGTAATCCCTTTATTAGCACTGCAAGATTATTAATATGTAGTTTTATGGCAAGGAAATAGGGGCTAAGACTTTTAGGAATTTGCCTAGTCACATAGCTAGTAAAAGATAGGTCTGAGCTTTGAACCATGGATTTTCGTATTTCAGAGCCCTTAACTGTTTCTACTGGATCCAAAGACAATCTATCACAAATGTTCTAGGGACTGTACATTTCCTTCTTTCTTACTTTCTTTTAAATATTTCCTTTTAAATGCGGGTGCTGGCTTGGCTTCAGTTAAATCTAAAATAACTTCGTGGTTTAGGATAAATAATGTAAACTCTGGAATTCTCAGAGTAGGATCAAAAACTCCATTAAGGTCTGTTCTGAACTTGTTGCTTACAATTTTGACTGGTGGCAGAATTTCAGACCAGAAACTCCTACAAAGTTGATATAGGTGGTACTTAGTTGATAATCAGAATATATGTTCATTTTTTGTTCCTTTCAACTGTTTACCTCTCTAAGAATATAGATTTAAATATTTTCTCCACAAATATTTGAGGATCTGCCATGTTGCAGGCTCTGTTTGGCACATACTTTCCAGAAGTGAAATGGTATATAGTCCGTAACACCCACTGACAATCTTGTGATGTAGCAATTGACCCCATTTTTCCAGGTGAGAAAACTGAAGTTCAGCTCTTGTGTCTTGGCCAAGGTCACACAAGCAATGAGCACATATTATACCTATTAAGTAAAGTCAGTGATACACTAAGAACAGTAAGCCTTTACACTATTCTTGGCTATATAATCTTACATCATTCTGAGCAAATTACTAAATAGGATTTGTGGGTAAGTCCTTTTATGGAGACTGAAGTAACGTGGAATAATTCCTCTTCTCAGGGTTTATCTCTGGGAACATAAAACATGAATAATGGTTATTTCAGAAAATGATGCCAGGCGGGGTAGTGCAGTGCTGTTTCCAACTGAGTGATGGCGATATGGAAAACAGAATTCAGGGAGAGAATTGAGATCAGTTTAGGAGGGGAGGGTCTAGGAGATGTAATTTTGTGACTCAAAAATTATTAAGTGCCTCTTATGTGCTGGGGGTACAGAACCGAGTTGTGTATCTCATGAACCATACTTTGGGTGGAGGCATAGAATAAAGAGCAGTAATAGCACCGTGTGGTAAGTGCTGTGACAGAGTGTTAAGCACTCGGGTGCTTGTGAGAGCGCTGGGAAAGCAGGGCGTCGAAATCGGGGGGGGGCCATGTTGGAGGAAGCTCATCCTAGAGCTCACTCTAAAGGATATACTCTTAAACTGAGCTGAAAGAACTATGAACGGTGAGCCCTGGCCGGGTAACTCAGTTGGTTAGAGCATCGCCCCAATATGTCAAGGTTGCAGGTTTGATCCCCAGGCAGAGCACATGGAAGAATCAACCAATGGATGCATAAATAAGTGGAACAACAAATCGATATTTCTCTTTCTCTCAAGTCAGTACGTTTTTTAAAACTTTTTAAAAACTATTAACAGTGAATTAAGTGAAGGTGAGGGCTGGCTTGTTCGGGCAGAAGGATCAGAATGTGTGAAGGCACAGAGGAATGAGATAATTTGTGCAGTTCAGAAACTACAGGTTCTTAAGTGCAGCTGGAGGCGTGAAGGGTGAAGACGCTCTCAAGGAACAGAGGTTAGGTCATAAAAGTTCTAGGAGGCTTGGGCTAAGAAGTATATATTTTATTCTGAAAGCTATGGGAGTTTCTGAAGGGATTTTAGTCAGGAAAGCGAATGGTACAGCCCTGTGTGACCCTTGGGAGGGCCACCTCAGCAGTGACTTTGACGCTGCAGTGCCAGGGTAGGGGAGACCATAAGCAGCGAGAGGAGTTGTGTCATTGCTTTAAACTCCCCCAGAGGTGAGCAGGGCCTGGGCCTAAAGCAGTGAAAATGAAGAGGAAGGTGGGAGTTAAGAAGACAAAATTAACAGAATTTAGTGATTGACTGAGGGGGTAAAGGAGATGTTTTCCAGTCGGGGCTGTCCAATCCTTTGGCGACTCTGGGCCACGCTGGAAGAAGAAGAGTTGTCTTGGGCCACACATTAAGTACACAGAACACTAATGAAAACTGATGAGCAAGAGGAAGATTTTAAGTAAATTTACGATTTTGTGTTGGGTGGCATTCATAACCCTCCTGGGCCGCCTGCGCCCCGCGGGCTGCAAGTTGGACGTGCCTGGGAGGATGGAACCACTTACAGAAATGGGGAGCTCCAGCGGGAGCAGTTCTGTCATTCGTAGGAGAAGCGGTAGGTGGCGGACGTGATAGGAGGGGGCAGGCGGTCAGCAGAAATGGTACCTTGATTTTAGGGTAGACTTCACGGTGCCTGTGGGATGCCTCCAAAGGGACGGGTGCATTAGACACTTGAGTGTAGAAAGCAGAAGGAAGGTCTGGCTGGAGAAAGGAATTTAGGAGACATCGTATGAGTCATAATTGACGCCATGAGTTTGTTCTGAAGGCCATTAATATTTAAAGGCCAAATAACAAAAGGGGAGGCCTCAAAAAAGGGCTGGAAAGGAGCAGCAAGAAAAACGATATGAAATGGTCCTAAGAAGGGAGAGTAGCCCACCGAGTCCGAGGAAGACAGGAGTCAAGTAAAGTCAGGGCAGAATTAGTATCTTTTGGGTCTGGCATTAGGAAAGTCAGTAGCCAAAGCAAGAATAATTTCAGTACAGCACAGGAGTTAGGAACATAGGCTCTGAAATTGATTTGTGTTTAAATCTCAGCTCCACCCCTTACTAGCCCTGGAACCTTGGATGGGTAGCTTAACTCTTTGAAGTATTAGTTTCCTTTTCTGTCAAGTGAGACCAAGAATACAGACTTAGAGGGCTGTTATGAATGGGGTTAAATGAGATGATGTAGGTAGATTGTGTTTCTCACTTGGAGTGGACATTCAATAAATGATTGTCATCTTTTCGTTGACTTTGTGGGGACAGAAGAATAAATAAGAGCTTTGGAAGCGAGGGGCGATTGAATTATATTTTTAAATTATAAAGTGAAGGAAAAAAGGAAGTTGGTCATTAGAGAGGAATATTAAGTCAGGGTGGGTTTCTTTAAGGGAGAAAAGACTTGGTTATGTATATGTGCTAGAGGAAAAGGTCCTGAGGGCCACCTACTCTGTTGAAACATGAGGAGAGGATGAGTACATGGGTGTTGTTGCTAATAAGCTTACGGGTTTTCTTCTAGATGCTTCCAAAAGAGTCCTCATCCAAACCTTTTCTTGTCCAGTTCCATCTGAGGGCCCCTAGTACTCAGTTTGTAAGTGGCATAAGAGAAAGCTGAGCAAGTGATTTCACCAGTGGCTTCTAGGTTTTGGTTTTGTTTTGTTTTGTTTTTCCAGTTAAGAGAAGCAAGATGTTAGAACAAATGTGAAAGTGATGGGACAGTTGGGAGAATGGGGACATTTTGGTGGAGCTGCAGAGACAGCCAGGAGAGCGTGGATGGGGCACTAGAAGGATTACCAGGCAGCGCCGAGGCCCCAGCTGCCATCGGTGCCATCTCACATCCACAGATTCCGATCTGCAGTGCCTCCTAGCATGTGCATCGGCCCAGATGTAAGCGCAGAGAAGTCAGATGGCTGGGTTAACCAGGGACTGGGGGGAGAAGAGAACAGAAATAGGGGTCATAGAAATGGTGATAATAGTAGAGGGTGAAGTGATAGACTGTAGAGTCTTGGTTAAATAGAGAAGGCAGAGTAGAACTGATACGTCCAGAGAAAGTGGAATAATTAGCCCTTTTCAGAGAGAAAGAGAGAGTACTCTTATTTAGAGATTAGTGATGAGAGAGCTGGAAGGATAGAGAGCTAGAAGGATAGGAAGCGTTTCTTAGGAAATGGGATATGGCAGTTAAGTATCAGAGCATTTCTAGGCAGTGGTTGTTTTGAGGATGGAGTCCTCAAACTAAACTAAAACAGAGTGGGGCAAACATCTTTGATAGAGATAGAGAATAGAGATAGAAGTAGAGAAGATCAAAGCCTTCCTGGGAACAAAGGCAAAGAAGGAGTCACAGTGTTCGTAGAATGCGGTGCTTGAAACAACATTACTGGTATGTGACATCATGTAGGGATTAACGAGAGAGAAAGCCTGGAGGTGGGAAGCTTAAACACAGGACTCGGGAACTTAGATTTTAACTAAGGAAGCAGCGTGGATAGAGCTGGTGGGTGTTTCTGAGAGTGACTTTAAAAGAGTACTGTCAGGAAGATTGTCCAGCAGAGGTTTGTAAGATGCACTGGACAGAGGAAGAGACTGAGAACATGTCTTTACATTTTCCGGCAGCAATCTTTCTGGGTTCCTTCCGCATGCCCTATCAAGAGATTAAGAATGTCATCCTGGAGGTGAATGAGGCTGTCCTGACCGAGTCCATGATCCAGGTAAGGAGCAGGGTGGCTATGCCAGAGCTGGCCCTGTGCATCGCAGTGCACTAGCCTCGCCATCTCTCTGCTTGGAGGGCGAGGGTCCTCGTGTGGCATTTTTGACTTTAAGGATGCTACTAGCTCTGGGCAAGCATCCATCTCTAGTGCTCAGGTTGTTTCTGGTATATTTTTCCAGAGTCCTGCCATCTCACTAGCTGCTCATCCGCCCCACCCCCCCATCCATGTTTCCTTCTCAGGGGTCCTTGGGCACAGGGATGAGGGCCTGACAAGGAGGCTCAAGCTGTCCTCTCATTCCCCTCAAACTGAGTCCCTTCTCTCTTTCAGAACCTCATTAAGCAGATGCCAGAGCCAGAGCAGCTAAAAATGCTCTCCGAACTGAAGGACGAATATGATGACCTGGCAGAGTCGGAGCAGTTCGGCGTGGTGGTGAGTGAGGCCTGCGGCAATAGGCTCTTCTGCGACCCCCTCGCTGCCTCCTCCCGGGGGCCAGCTGGGGCACTTGCTCCTTGCCTCTTGTCTGTTTTGAACTTGCCTTTCTGTCTCTCTCCTCCCTGCTCTGGAACTCAAATCCTCGCAGAGGTGACTCAAGCCTGGAGCTTTTCTTCCTTTTCTGTCTTCACTGGCTGTAATGAAGCTGCTTGTCTTCCCCTTAGATGGGCACCGTGCCCCGCCTGCGGCCTCGCCTCAATGCCATCCTCTTCAAGCTGCAGTTCAGTGAGCAAGTGGAGAACATCAAGCCGGAGATTGTTGCTGTGACTGCCGCATGTGAGGAGCTGCGAAAGAGCGAGAGCTTCTCTAACCTTCTGGAGATTACCTTGCTTGTCGGCAACTATATGAATGCTGGTTCCAGGAACGCAGGGGCTTTTGGCTTCAACATCAGCTTCCTCTGTAAGGTGAGCCCGAGGGTTAGAGCAGAACCACAGAAGGGAGGTCACTGGCCTCTATGAGCACAAAATGGCAAACGACTGCTGACCTGAGGTGATCTCGCGCATTTCAGGGCTAACAATTCTCCTCTTCCCCCAAGCTTCGGGACACCAAGTCCGCAGATCAGAAGATGACGTTGTTGCACTTCTTGGCTGAGTTATGTGAGACCGACTACCCTGACGTCCTCAAGTTTCCAGATGAGCTTGCGCACGTGGAGAAAGCCAGCCGAGGTGGGTAGGCTGGGGTGAAGCTAGAAGGCGCTCCCAAGCCCCACTCATCTCTGAGCGACAGTCTAGATTTTAGATCGTCTTCAGTTCAGACTCCTTTAAGTGGGAACGAGAGAGGGTATAAGAGAGAGGATAGGCATGTCCAAGCCACCAGGGAGGAGTATCAGGCAGAAAGGGGTCTCCATGTATAGAAGTGGAAAGTACTCCTTCCCATCCTAGGAAAAGACCAAACACTACTGCAAGAAAGGCAGGTGTTTTTATTTTTATTTATTTTAAAAGATTTTTTTTTTAAATTTTTAGGCAGAAGGGAAGGGAGGGAGAAAGAGAGGGAGAGAAACATCAATGTGTGGTTGCCTCTCACACACTCCCTCCTGGGGATCTGGCCTGTAACCCAGGCATGTGCCCTAACTGAGAATTGAACCTGCAACCCTTTGATTTGCAGGCCGGCACGCAAGCCACTGAGCCACGCCAGCCAGGGCGAATGGCAGGTGTTTTTAGTCTAGAGCAGTGGTTATTCTTATTCAGAAAAGAGACTGGATTAACAAAAACCAGGCCTCATCATCCTGAAATTAAGCAAACAAAAGGCAGCATTCAGTAGAAATGGGAACACATTTCTTTCTTGCCTCTATATTTTTTTGACTCCTGCCTCCAAACCCTGTTCTTGAAAATAAATGAAACCAAGATCCCAGGGGATTTCATAGATTTTTGTTGAATTAAATGAAGCCTCTCCTCTCGTCTCGGTGCTGCGCAGCTTGTAGAGGGGGGTAGAGGCACAGTCACCAAGTAATTTATAGTTTCACTGGACGGATGTGGGAAAGAACTAGAGAGTATGTAAGAGAACTGAAATGATTAAGTGCCAGCTGAACGGCTGGGCTGGAGCTCTGCTCTGAAGGGCAGAAGTTAAGGGTCTGAAGACAGGATTTAGCTAAGTTCTTCTTGTCTGTTTTTGTGTTTCCTTTAGTTTCTGCTGAAAACTTACAAAAGAATCTAGATCAGATGAAGAAACAGGTCTCTGACGTGGAACGTGATGTTCAGAATTTCCCAGCTGCCACAGATGAGAAAGACAAGTTTGTTGAAAAAATGACCATATCCTTTCTTGAAAGGAGGGAGTCCCTCCCAGGAAGGGATGGATTGTTGGGGGGAGGGTTGGAGAGGGTGGCCAACAGGATAGATCTGGTGATACATACTTTTCCCCCCTTAAAATATTTTTTTCAATAAATACAGTTTCTGAAGGCATTTTCATTGTTACAGCAGGGAAAGCAAACCGTGCAGATAAACTAGTCCCCCTTGGCCCCTTACCCTCTGCCCATCTGCACTGCATGTGCGCACGTGGGTGTTCCCTCCCCACTTCCCTTCCCAAGGGTGACCACTGTCACTGGTCTTATTTCCGGTTTGCCCCTCATGAATTTATTTTATACAAATATTGCATTGTCTGCATGGTATTGCTCTTTGCCCATACTCTGCCTTAGCTGTTTCTACAGCGGTGTTGCAGGATAGCCTCTTTTTTAGCTGCCATCTCCTAGGTGTGCCATAGTGGATGGTTCGCCATGCCCCTGTGTTGGATATAGAGATCGCTTTTGGCTTTTGCTTCGAGATAAACAGCGCTGTGTCGAACATCCTCGTACATGGCAGTGCACATCTCCGAGTCTTCCCCTGGGCGGGGAAGTGGGTCTGCTTCTTGGCACTGGTCCTTGACTCGGTGGCCGCACAGCTTCGTGAAGGACGCACAGGAGCAGTACAGCAAGCTGCGGATGATGCACGCCAACATGGAGAGCCTCTACAAGGAGCTGGGCGAGTACTTCCTCTTTGACCCCAAGAAGGTGTCTGTGGAAGAATTCTTCATGGACCTTAACAACTTTAAGAACATGTTTGTGGTGAGTGAGGAATACCTGCTGCCTGCCTCTCCTGAGAACAGTTTTCACTTTCCACTGGCTTTACGTTGGTTGGCGGTGGGTGTGCATCTGTGTGAGCGCATACCCGCCCATGTGTTCATTTTTTCTCCCCAGCAAGCAGTCAAGGAGAACCAGAAGCGGCGGGAGACAGAGGAAAAGATGCGGCGAGCAAAACTAGCCAAGGAGAAGGCAGAGAAGGAGCGGCTGGAGAAGCAGCAGAAGAGAGAGCAGCTCATAGACATGAATGCAGGTAAGAAGCAGAGAAGCCTGGAGGGGTTGAGACAGGAACATTGGGAAGGTTTCTCTGTCTAGAATCTGGAGGGCCGAGAGAACAGCTCCTGTCTGAGCCCAGCTCCTGGCAAGTGATTGTTGGCAGGCTTCTTCCTCCAAGATCCTGCTGCTAGCCTTTCACCCACCTCAGCTGGATGCGCAGGCCAGTGCTCCGCTCAGACCCTCTGCTCTCCTCTGCCAGTGCCTGCGTTCTGTCCCCTCTCCCCAAGGACTTCAGTATTGCTGTGACACGAAGTCACGAAGTCTTTCCTGCTGCCTGTCCAGAGTGCCTCTGGCCTTTTTTCATACCCTCTACTAAATCTTTTGTTTTCCCCCCACAATGTTTTCCTGGCACTGCTTCTGTCTTTTAATGGTGGCCTGCCCTCCCTTCCTGCATATTTCTCTTAAGTACTGTGTCCCTAGTACCTCAGCACAGTCACACACACCTTTCAGATTGTAAATGAATTGAACTTCTGGAAAGGGGGCAGGGGAGCTGACCACCCTCTTCTTTCTCCAGCAGAATCTCTACTTTACTACCAGAAGCATGTCTTTGTTGAAACATATGGCCTCAATTACTGGCTCTCTGTTTCCTGTCTCTGCTTCTTTCCTGCCGCCGATTCCCTGCCCCCTTTGGCTGCTCCAGCGGAAATACAGCACGCGTTGTGCACGGCTGAGCTGATGCCACCCTTCTTGAACCTGAGAGGCTACGAGCCATCTAAGCGAAGGGGTTTCAGGGCTGCTGGGCTTGGCAAGAATGATAGTGCTTTGCTGAGCACGAGAGGCAGGGGCCACTCTTAACACCTCTTGCTCCAGGGACTTGACTTTGGCATCTCCTGTTGTAATATTAGGAACCGAAGCAGCAGGAATAGCCTACATTTCATCTTTTCTTTATACTTTTCTGGGAAGCAATTCCCTGCTCTCATCCCAGTTGTATATAAGCCACAGACTAGTTTAGTGATGCTATTTAAGCCCGCAGCAAATATCCTTTGCCTTCCCCTATTCTCCTCAGGCTCCTAGGGTTTGACCCCCGGTACTAAGACACAGTGGGTAAAGAGGGGGTCCAGCTGATGTGTGGGATGAGGGCTGTACCCAATCATCAGGTGACATAGTCCCCCTTGTCCTGGCCCTGAGGTGCCCAGGGCAAGCAAATGAGGTTGGAATGTAGGTCAGCTGCATTGGTGATGTTCAGCCAGCAGGTGGCGCTCGGAGCAGTGAGCCCGGCCTCTGAGCAGGCAGCTTCCAAGCTCCTTGGGATTTCAGTTTCAGATTTCACCACCCTGAGCTGTTGCCATGGAAACAGAGCCTGGCTGGTAGAAGGATTCTAGGTTAACTCTTTGTATGCCAGTCAGGATGCTCCTTTTAACATTCCTAGCTGACTTTGAGAAGATGCAGCCACGAGGGGCAGTACTTCAGTGAAATGTATGTGGTCAGTTCTCTCACCTTTTTCTCAGCCCTGCTCTGAAACTGGAACCGGGTGCTGCTTGTAAGGTTCATGTAAATTGGAGTGAAACACTTGAGGATGAAGAGAGATGTAGCTGCTCACTAATTTCATAATCCCAGGCTCTGTCCTTACCCTGGTCTTGGAATTGGGCAGTTCTGCAATTCTCTGTGTTTGTCCCGATTGGGGTAGGAAGGCGAGGGTAGTGCAGGAAAACATCACAACGCTTGCCGTGGCTAGCAGGCAGCGAAGCCTTTTGTTGGAGCCATTTGCAAACAGACACAAGTAAACGCGGGCTGAGGCTTGAGGTTGCGCCCCCCTCCGCCCCCTGTCTGCTTTGAGTCCCCACCATCATGGACAAGGGGAGGCCAGGCAGACACCGTGCGTGTTGTGTGGGGCTCAGCACATGCAAGCCACTCGGGCTGAAGGGCTTACATCTCCATCTTTGTTCACGACAGAAGGTGATGAAACAGGTGTGATGGACAGTCTTCTAGAAGCCCTACAGTCAGGCGCAGCATTCCGACGGAAGAGAGGACCCCGTCAGGGTAAGTAAGCAAATGGAGCCTCCCTCTGGGAAAGGGGCTGGGCCCCTCTCCCCTGGACCTGCTTGCCTTGGGCCGAGGAGCAGGTAACGATTCCCTGAGAAGGTGGAAACCTCCCGACAGTAGGCCTTGCGTGTGGAGCGGTTCACGTAGTTCCCTTCTGCTCATGGTAGAAAGTGCTGAGCTGGAGACCTAGGGCTCTAGGGCCTGACAGCCAATCAGTTACAGCTGATTACTGTGTTTTCAGCATCCTTGAAGCGGGGGCCTGGAGCATGCGAACCGTGGTTTAGGACACAGATTTGGGTGGGCATTTGAATACATAAACAAAATTGACCAAAGTACAAAGAAAAAATAAGTCAGGAGCCCTTACTCTCAACTTCACAAGCAGAAGAGAGAGAAAATAATAAAAAGTATAAAACCCTACAGAGAGAAGGCTGGGCATCGGTCCCCCCATAGAGAGGAGCAGCTCGCTGACAGGATCGCGCTGTGTCTGAGCACCCCCGTCCTCGGGGGCAGTGAGCCCCAGGCACGTGCCATCCCCACTGCTGCCCTGCAGTCCCCACTCCCAGCCTTCAGAAGACTTCAGTGGATTATGCTGAGCCAGAGCCTCTTAAGAAGAATTATGGGGGTAGGAGGGCAAATGATCCAGATGTTAGTATGAGGAAGAGGAGCAGTGAGTTGCCTTTGAAGGAAGCGTGCAGTGGCCTGCAGACTAGTCCAGAAGAAGGTTTGCCCAAGGCTACCCCTCATGGGCGTACCCCTGCACCGGGGTCAGTGAAGCCCCTTTGGGACTGGGAGCGATGGCTTCTTTCCTAGGTTGAAGGGTGGGATTGCAGGAAAGGCATCACTGAGGGTTTCTCCTTGTGAAGGAGTTAGCGCTGTGTTCCCTATGCCCTGGCTGGTATATTTGTAGGCCTGATGGATACACGCTGTACTTTACGGTTATTGTAAAGAAGAGGAGTTGCGCGGTTTGCTTTGGCCAGTGCCTAGCTGTTAACACAGTGCTAGCCGTAGGGTTTACGGTACCTGTCATAGCCTGGAAAGGGGATCTGAGGACCAGGGTACAGAGCGCGCTAGCTCACATAAACTCAGGAGTCCTGGCCCAATGTTGTAGGTCACTGTGAGTTTCATCTGTTATGACCAGTTGCCTGTTTCTGCCCACACTGGGAATATCCAGGCGGAAATTCCCTTCTGAGGGCTCTTCTGTGGGACCTCAGGGTCTCCTTTGCATCCTGACTCTTACCCACATTTTTACATCCTCTGAGCACAGGCCCTCTGGAGGGGAAGAGAGGGGCATAGGAGGGGACAGAGCATTTAGTCTGTAGATCAGTGTTTGGGTAGAAAGTGCAGCTGGTAGTATTACTTCTGTGTTTAGTCTTTAGAGGTTCTGCGACACGGTTTCCCGCCTGCCATATAAGGTGATGTGGCCGTACAGTCAGCACTTCTAACCAAACGAAGACACGTTGCATCTCACTCTTTTCCTCTGTCCTCTCAACCTGCATCAGACTTTTAGTGGGGAATTCCCTTCTAAGCCTCTTCCTGTGGAACTGTGCTAGGATCCCAGATGCTTCCTGTACACAGGCAGCCAGCGTCAGTGGCTTCCCTCGCTGGGGGCGCATTTGCTGCTCTTCCCAGGTGGGGAAGCCGGGACGCCCAGGCAGAAGAGGCAGGGATTTTGTTGGAACCTAACTTTTCAGTGGAGGACCCAAATTAGACTGCTTTTGCCCAGTGCAAGAAGGGATAGGAGGAGACTTATAAATAGGAGATATTGACGCAAAAGAAAAAAAAGGCGAAAAAGGCAAAAATGAGAACTACATACTTTTTAAATTGACTGCACTCTGTAACCTTACCTCCCTGGGCTCTGGGTTTACTGAACGTACCTGAGTACGCCAGGGAGCATCTCTCAAGGGAGACGTTTCTAGTCACTCTGGTAAGCTCTTTAGGCCTCGGTGCATTCCCCTCCTGTGAGGTGGTGAGGCCTTATGTTAAGTGTAAATAGAAGGCTAGGCACTGAAGTAGGTGCAAAGAGCACAGGACTAGGATCAAAAGTCCCCAAGTCAGGTCCAACTGGTGCTGTCTAGGTTGCCCCCGACAAGCTTCTGAGACTCAGCCTTTTTCACAAAATGAGGACTGGACTAAAATGGCCGCTGGGGTCCTTCCTAGCTTTACTGTCTATCACTACAGTGACAGTAGGGCCAAGGGGATAAGAAAGGCTGGACCTAGAAGGCCCCCATCTCACACTTGAAAGGCCCTGGTGGCTCTGGGCTCGACTGGTGGCTGCCGGACTCAGGGGCTGCTGGCTGTCTCCGACTGTTGCTCCAGGTCAATTGCTTTGAGCCAAAAAACAAGCGCTACCACGCGGATCCACCTCACAGCCCTCCGCAGGCCCGGGGAGGCAGCTGTCCTATTCAGAGAAAGACACTAACCTTCTCCCTAGGATTTAAAGGAATGTTTTTAAAAAAAAAACTTCTGTCTCTGGAGACCTGAGGGAGTGACCAGTATACAAAGGCCCATTGAGCAGTCGGAAGAGGAGGGTTACTGTCAGGGCTGGCTCATTAAAAGCGACACACAAACCGCAGTGAATCTGCAGCGTGTGGGAGGACAATGGTTTGAGTGTCAAGGGGAAGAATCCATGTGATTATATTAGTGCTGCTATTTCAGACCCATGATTGAGTCTGCTTGTGGTTTTAATGACTCAACTTTATCTCCGTGTCTGAATTATAGCCTCTTATACACAGGCCATCTGCTCACTGGGATAAAGTCAAGGGGAGAAAGAAATTCATCCTTCCCTTTCCTTCCCTCTGTTACTTCCCTGCTTCCCTGAAGACTCTGTCTACTCGAACAGAACCTTAGAGCTGGGGGAAGACTAACCCCTCTCGTGATTAGCACCTCGCCTCCTCATGCACAAAAGGGATTTAGACTCAGATGAGGTCTTGTCCAGGCCCGCGCAGCTAGCTGATAATGGTGGAGCCAGAACTGTAGCCCACTTCGGTGAAGCCACGTCCAGGGCTACCTCCACCAAGCCTGCACGGTTGGACAGCAGGTGACAGTGACCTGTGTGGGCCAGAAATACCCTTCCCAACCTTCCCGCAAGGAGAGCCGTGGACAGGCAAAATGGCTTCAGGCAGTTTTCCGATGACCACCTGTCTGGAGAAGGTGACGGGCATTTCCTCTACCACTTCTTATTCTTCCTCCACTTTTGTAAAAATAGGACAGGAATTATAATTACGAGACTTCAGACAGTAATGAGTTCTTTAGGGTAGCAATGATTGCCCCACCTGTCCTAGTTTCCTCTTCCCTAAGGAAGCTTATTAACAAGAGCACTTCCTCTTTAGTGGTAGTTTCTAGCCCGTGTTTTATAAATGTTGTTTTCCAAACCACTAACCTTTTTCTGATTCATCTATACTAGTGTTACATGGTTGATTTTGCGGGCGTTTCTGCCCTAGCCCACCCCGAACTTCTGGGAATCTGGCCTCAGCTTTGACCGAGGTCTCAGGATCGTTCCCTTGTCGCCCCAGCCCACGGAACTGCTCTCTTATGAATTAACAGTTCTCCCTGATCCCACGTAGTCAAAATGAGTGTCTGCTTCTGAGGCTGCTTTTCAGGAGTCTCAGCAGGACCCAAGTCAGGGATGGGAGCAGGAGGGGAGTTTTTCTCAACTGTTCCAAGTTTTTCAGCTTTACTGTGGCCCTGAAGACACAGTGGAAGCCAGGTTTCCTCGATTCTGTTCCCAGTTCTGACAAGAGCATGCATGTCCGATGCAGACCTTTGGCCACATTGTACCCTGCCCTGCTGTACCTTCTCTCTAGGCCTAAAAAGGAAGTTTTTGTTTTCTCCCCACCAACCATCCACTTCTGATTTTTGTGAAATTGTAATGTATCAGAAACTTTTTGAATCTATTAAAATCTGGAAACATTCCTTGAGTAGGTACAACGGGTGTCGTCTTAGCTTGGAGGGAAAAACCACAGAGAGAAGAGGTATCAGACTTGTCCCCACTTGAACTCTGATGTCTCCCTCGTTGCCAGGGACAGGTGTCCCGAAGTCCAGGTCTCGGGTCCGAAGTTACTGCGCACATACTTGCTCCTCAGGTCACACTCACCTCACACACACTTGCACAGATAGTTGAAGATTTTCTTAACCGCTGGAGATGAAATTCAAAGGAGCAGTAAGTGATATTACTGCTTTTCCAGACACGAGAAGTAGGGACTAGAGAAGGCAGCCTTTCAGAAGAGAGTGGAAACTAAGGGAGTCTGAGGAAGAGTTTGCCGGAAAGGCTAAGAAGAAAGACGGGAGACCACCCTGGTGGCACCGTGATGCGCTTCTTGCCTCCCTGTTGGAGGCGGCCCTTTATGTTTGGAGTCCAGGAGTGGTTCGCGTGAAAGCCCCCGACTCACGCCCTCCACCCGCAACTGGGTGACCAACTGGGTGTCTGTCAGTCAGGGCCTTCACTACCTGTCTCCTCTTGTTAGACAATCCCTTGTGCCCCTGGGAGGAGGAGGAGGAGGAGGAGGCAGAGGAGGAAGAGACCTGTAAACTGGTAACCTGTGGGCATGCTGTGTGCTCGCTGCTGACCTGTCGGTAGCCTTCGGTAGCCTTAGCCGTGTGAACACAGTGCCGCTGGGTCGCGTTTCTGCAGAGAAGCCGACAGCTGTGGTGATGACTCGGGCCTCTAACCAGTTTGGCTTCTGCCCTCCCTAAAGCTTTTAGCTGGACTAAAGAAGGCACAGGTGTTCTGGGTGCTTTGTGCACTGGCTCCTCCCTCTGCGCCCCTTCCTCCCGGCGGGGCGCAGCTGCCTGCGTTCAGGAGTGAAGTCTGCGTTTAGGAGGGGGAGCCAGGCTTCCTCCTTCCCCCCTCCTTCAAGACTTAGACGCTACTTTCGCCATCAGCTTTCCCCTGACCTGGCAAAGCTTTGTTTTCTACTGAGATATAAACCACGTGCCTAAATCGACCCTTTTACAGTACACAATTCAGTGTTTTTCAGTACATTCATAAGGTTGTGCACTCATCACCACTATCTAATTCCAGAACATTCCCATCACCCCAGGAGGAGACTCCATACCCGTTACTGGTCACTCCTCGCTTTGCCCATTTCAGGCATTTTATAGAAAAGGAATCATAGCATCTGTGGCCTTTCAAATCTACTGCCTTTGCCGCAGGCAGGCATCACCTGGATTCCCTGCGGTCTCTCCGTGCTGCACCCAGGCCATGGGCAGAGACAGACAGCAGGGGACGGGCATGGTCCCCGGGGACTGCCTTCATGCTGAGGGTCCTGGGGCTGTAAATCTGGATTCCGAGAATGGATGTGAGAGTCCTCGGAATGGCTTCCAGCAGTTAGAACAGCAGCTCATGGACTGATTGGTTCTTCGCAATCCCGTAGCCCACGGGGCCAAGATTTCTTTGTAGGGGCCTCTCTGGACCATCCTTGACCCCAGCTCTGCGTTTCCCGACTTACCTTCTTACCCTGTTACCCCTCCCCCAACACACAAACTCACCGGGCCGGGCCCTTGGCGGTTGTGTCACAGCTGCCGCCCTGAGGTGGCGGGAGAGCGCTGTGTGTGTGAGCATCTGGGGGGAGGGTGGGGCATGTGGCGGCGTGACATGCCTGTGATGTCAGCACGGGCTGCCACTTCTCTTTGCAGGAGTCCCCCTGGCAGCCCACTGAGGGCCACCCTCTGCCGGGGCCAGCCTTCTCCGGGCTGCCTGCACTCGGCGTTGGCCTCGGCCTCAGAGCATCCTGGGAACTGCCAACAAAACAAGAGCAACACTGTTTACTAAGCTTGAGGCTGTTTAATTCCACCAGCATTATGCTGAGGAAACCGATTTTGAGTGCTCGATCTCCCTTTAAGTTGCATAGCTAGCACTTGAACCTTGTTCTGTCTAGCTATATTCAAACCTTTGTACTGTTTTTAAAATTTTTTTTTTTTAGTTTATTTTAGAGAGAGGGTAAAGGATGGAGAAAGAGAGGGAGAGAAACACCAACGTGAACGAGAACCACTGATTGATTGCCTTCTGTGGGTGCCCCAGTTGGGGACCAAACCTACAGCCCAGACATGTGCCCCGACCGGCAAAGGAACTGGCGACCTCTCTGTTTGTAGGACAGTGCTCAGCCACCTGAGCCACACAGGCTGGGGCTGTACTATTTTTTAAATTTTTTTATTTATTGATTTGAGAGAAAGAGAAACATTGATTTGTCATTTCACTTATTTATTCATTCATTGGGTGAGTCTCACACGTACGCGGACCGGGGGTGAGCCCTGTCAGGGCGGCGCTCTAACCAGCGGAGCTGCCCCGCTGGGGCCAACCAGGCCTTCGCGCTATTTTTACACAGGAAGCCAGAGCACGGCTTGTTCTCCAGCCTGCACCATATACTCTCATATTTGCTGCGCCCCCACCGAAGGGTGTATGGCACGTTTTCCTAGATCTCTGCCCCTCCTTCAAAATAAGGGCCTCTGTGAACTGGACAGGGCAGCTACGTTTGCATGGCGTCAGGCTAAATGTCTGCCCGAGAGTTCAGAGGGGGCTAGGAGCCGGGCTTCCTGTGGACAAGATCTCTTTTGTCTTCTCTTGCAGCCAACAGGAAAGCTGGGTGTGCAGTCACATCTCTGCTAGCCTCAGAGCTGACCAAGGACGATGCCATGACCACTGTTGCTGCCAAGATGCCCAAGATCAGTGATGGAGTCCCCACAATCCTGGAGGAACCCATGGAGCTGGTTGGCCGTGCAAGCTAACCCGGGTCCTATGGCCACGGCAGCTCCTCGGTGGAGCCCCCGACTGTCCTGCCCTGCAGCCTGTGCCTAAAGGATCGTGGCGATGTCCCTGCAGGGTGGCCGCTCCTATCACCCTGCCCCTGTCTTTCTCTCTGGCCTGCTGCTCTCTGTATGTGACATTCGGCTTCAGCTGCCTAGAGGCCAGAAGGAAAGGGCAGTGCGGGGGAGGCCCGAGCCCAACCCGGCCAGCCCTGGCTGTTGCATTACCAAAGCAGGCTCTGTGTTTGCTGCCTTAACCCCAAGTGTCTCCTCTGTTACTTGGAGGCCTGTCTCAGACAAGGCCCGCCTGCTTTCCCAGCCCCTGGCTTTCCAGTGGGCTTCCCGTAGGTCAATCTTGCTGAGTTTGTGCTTTTCTTTTGTGGTTTCTCTGGCCCTGAGAACAGCATGGGGCTTGTGAACTTTTGGGCTTTATCCTGCCTTTCATTGCTGTCACCTCTCAGCCTGTTCTCCTGGCAGTCGTTATTTATTACCAGTGGTGTGGCATGGGGAGCCGCTTCTAAGGAAGTGGGGAGCAAACCCCACCCTTACTCCACCTTCCTGAGGAAGGCCTCCCAAAACAAAAAGGACCTGGACCACTCTTACCTGTTCCACTGTGGCCTAGGCCAGAGCGTGCGGGCAGGTGGGCACAGGGTGCTGTGGGCCCTGGCCCAGCCCGCTGCCTTGCTTTGCGCCCGTGCCTCTCTGGACCCTCTGCACCAGCCCCAGGCTACTGAGCCATGGTCCCTTCTCGTGCCCTCCCCAGAGCTCTGGTGCATTTTATCTGGAGTACGGGCTGTACCGTGACCATCCCAACACCTCACCCTCTGTCTCCAAGAAAATGGGAGGTGGAGCCTCCTGGCTGAGAAATTGTTTTGCAAATGGATCTATTTTTGTATGAGATTTTTTTTTTTTTAAGAAAAATAAATCTCCCTTCCCCCTTTCTCCTCCATAATGTAAGAGGCTTTGATGGCAGGTTCCAGAGTCTGTGGGGTCTCTTCCCCTCGGGCCTCAGTCCTGAACAGGCCCTGGGACCTCCACCTCTGCTCCCGGGCCTCTGGCCCTTGCAGCCAGTGCGGAGGCACTGCCAGCATCTGGCTCTGGCGCAGGAGGAAGCTCTTCTTTAGTTGAGTTGAACCAGGCCTAAGAGTAGTGGGAGCTCTGAGACCACAGAGTTTTTATAAATTTAATATATTTATCAAGCCAAACGTGCAGATGCTCACTGGACACTCTGGGGAAGTGGGCACAGGAGTGCCCCCACACGTCATACCCCCGCTCCCTTCTGAACAGTGGGCAGGCCACGCTGTTCGGTGGCCCCAGCCACAGGGAGCTCAGGCTCTGGCTCCAGGTGACCCCGTGCCCGCCCTGGGCCGCTTTCACCTTCCCACCACCAGGTGAGGGCAGAGGACAGCGCTGTTAGGACTCAGCCCAGAATTACGGTTGTTAGCACACGGGGGAACTTAGGGGAGACCAAGGGCACTCGCACGAAGGCCAAGGCCGGGGAAGGGCTCTGGTGGCCGGAGCCTGTGTCGGGGGCGGCAGCAGCTCTGCTGAGCTTCCCGGGAAGACTGGTGTGCGGGCCTGCTGCTTCCTGGGTCCCCTCTTCTCCCTGTGGACACCTGGGGCTTTGACCCTTTCTTTTGTAACCTACTTTTGCTAAGATGCATTTAATAAAAAAAAAATGAGTAAGGGACAAAATGCAAACCTGTTTCTCTCACCTCTTGGGCTTCTGGGATGTCATCACCTCCAGTTTGTTGGGTTTGTTTCCAACTGTTAATAAAGCATTGAAATAGCACTGCTGTACAGCCTCCGGTGTCACTGTCTGAGCTATTTCTTTTCCCTCTTACCCAGGCCCCTCCGTTTTGTCCTGCCTCAAATCCCTGGTTGACCTGACACATTGTAAAAGTTCAGGGTGCCCTTCATGTGCCAGACACTATGGTTGAGGCCTGGAGATGATTCATACGTGGCAGCGTCTGCCCTCCACGAAGAAGGAGGCCCCGCTGGGCCTCCTGCCCTGCCCCACTGCTGCCTCTTGGCCTGGGACCCTTAAGTCCAGCTCTGGCTCCCGTGCTGCACACGTCATGGTTTCCTGGCAGTACCTGTGCCCCTTGCTGAGGGGAACATCTGACTCCCATTCTCCCGCCGCCTCCCCCCACCGCCCACTTTGATGGACACACACCACATTCCAGACTAGAGGGGCTTGCACTTGGGTGGAAACCCGAGCCTGCCCCGCAGAGGTCAGAAGCTAGAGGTCACTGTCCAGATGACTCTGCTCCAGAGTCATACTTCTTTGAGCACGTTGTGACCTGCACAAAGAAACCTTACAATCTATGAGCGGGCCCAGAATAGGCAGGGCGGGGCCTGGAGAGGACCACAAACCCACTTGGGCAGGCCCTGGAACTGGAAATGAAAGCCTTTTAAATAGCCCTGGAGCCCGGGCAGCTGCCTCCCCTGTAGGGCTGGGGATGTGGGGGTGGGCCGCCTGCTTCCTCTCTCCCTCCACCCCTGAGGCCACGCGTTTCTGGCTCAGAGCTTCATAGGCACACATACCAATTAGGGGACCGACCACAGCTGCTCACGCTCTGCCAGGCTACGGCCGTGCCTAGAATAGAACCCAGGCGCCCGGCTCCCCGCCCTCCGCAGCCTGGCTCTCAGAAGCAAAGCCCTGCTTCAATCTCAGCAGCTGCGCACACTACCCTCTCTCCCACGCAGGAAAGTCGCCCCCAGATGCTTAGTTGGAAGGCTTGGTTTCCATGACAACAGACTTAAAGACCCGGCTCGGAAGAGGCTCCGCGCGCGGAGCCAGCGCGGAGCCATCGCAGAGCCAGCCCCTCCCTCCCTGTGCACGGGCATACCCTCACTGACCCGCCTGGTCACCCCGGTCGGGCTGCCTCCCTCTCCTTCCGGCCCTCCCTCGGCGTTTCTTGCGGCTTCTCTGGCTGCAGCAACCTCGGAATCCCACTGTGCTTCCAGGAGACAGGCTGAGGGGGCGGGGAGGTGGGCCCGCGGACCAGTGAATGGAAAAGCACCAAGAGAGGGGCAGGCGGGAGGGCGCTCTGAAGGGGGCTATCTGATTTCCTGCCTGCCCTTTCAGTCCCCTTGTCCACCCTCACCCACCCCCGGACAAGAAAGCGACGAGCCCTCCAATCTCCTGGGCTTTGCTGCGGGGAGACGATCGGAAAGGTGAATTCCAAGTGGGGAAACTGAGCCCAAGCTGCAGACCCGGCCTTTGGAGAACCGCCTCCAGCATTCCCTCCTTCGCTCGCGGTGTTCCCCAACCCCCTAGGCAGCGGGAGAAGGAGACAGGCAAAAGAGAGGACCCCCTCCTCCCGCCAAGGCCGCCAATGCGCTCGGAGGTTGTCGGTGCCGCGGAGAAGGGGCTGGCGCTACGGAGACGTTCCCCGCCCCCTCTCCAGCGCAGTTTGCTGGGCGCCAACCCATTTCCGCCCCCGCACTCGGGTCTCCTCTTCTGCCTGGAGACTGGCGCTTAGAACTGTCACGGAGACAGCCGCAGGCATCCCACTGCACACTCAGTTACACACGACAAGCTGCGCTGATAGCCCCTCCCCCACAATAGACCCGCAAGCCGACTGCACACACGGTATACAGATCCACCAGCACACTTAGTCAATCACATACTATTACGTATACACAAGGGTGTTGCGAGCATAAACAGTCACATTTGACACCCATACCCAGATTCGCTGCAACGACACAAGACCAAGATGCAAACACCAAAATCGCCTCCCGGTCCCCCCTCCTTTTCCAGCACGCACCCCTCAGCTCATTACTTCATCCAAATGTGTCAGAAGCCTCCATCTCTTAAACAGAAACGTTCAACCTTTCAGAAGAAACCTTTTTATTATTTTTTTCAAAGAAAAAAGCCATATAAATATTAGAGTATAAAACTTGCGTGAAACACAGGAAAGGGATGAGGGAGCTACGTGACTATGCAAAGAGAAGCGTTTATAGGAGTCAGTATCGGGGAGGGAGTCGCCGCAGCGCGTGGACACAGCACAAAACACAGCACGGGCCACCGCAGGCAGATTCAAGGACAGACGGCTGCGCGGAGCCCGTTGCCCGCTGCCCACTCGCCATCACGGAAAAGCACACCGCACTACACTATTGGCTATTCTACACCAGCCAAAAGAGGGAAGGAGGGAGGGAGGGAGGGAGGGAGGGGGCTCTACGCTACAGTACGGGCTAGGGCGGGGTTCTCGCTCAGCCCCGCTGAATGGACGGGACTGGGGGTAGATAGAGGTGGGTGGGCAGAGGAAGGCTTATGCACAAGGAGGCACTGGGGACTTGAACCAGGCTCTGACCACTAGGGGGCAGACTGGGGGCCTGGGCAGTGGCCTTAACAGAGAAGAAATGGCACCTGGCAAGGTGAAGGACCGAGACTTGGGGAACGCAGGGACCCCGTGGAGAAGCCTGATCCACCGGTTGAGACTATCTGTCCATGTGGTCCCTGCTCTAGCCCCTTGGTCTCCCCAACCCAAGAACCAAGAATGGCCTGGCTGGCCTTCCCTTCCAGGGCCTGGGGCGGGAGGGGGGCATGCTGATCCTTCCACTATTGGCACCTCTGGAGTACCCAGCACCCACAGAGGCCCCTCTGATCTCTCCAGGGGACCTGGTCCCAAACCTGCTCAGACTTTCCTTGGACTGTAATGCCAGTTTAAGTCCCTTGGTGCTTGTAGCTCAGCCCAAAGCCAGCTGCTAGTGGTAGATGAGGGTCCAGCCTGGGGCTTGGTTTATGGCTGGAAAGATCTTGTCAGTATCCTGGGGACATCCAGAGCCTCCTGCTAGACCGTGTTAACTGATGGGTCAAGATTTACCCATCCCCCATCCCCCATCCACATCCACGCTCTCCTTCTTTACCCTGCCACCCCATACTGCCTTGGAACATGCAATGAAGTCTCTTGTTCGGGGAGGGGCAGCCACAGCATGCAGTGGGAACATTAAACAATGAAAAACAAAACAAAACAAAACAAAAGAACTGGTCCCTAGAGCACTGGGAAGAGGCATGGTAGCAAAATGCCCTCCCTAAATCCAGCAAGCATCAGTACCGTGGAACGGTGACCACGTCTCCCAAGACTTGAGCTCGGTCTCAGGCTCGCGAAGGATGTGAAGGGACTGCCACCAAACCATGCTTCGGGGAAGTTTGAGGATTGACGAACAGGCCAAGAGGTCATGATGCCCTTTGAGCTCTTCAGAACTACAAGCCTTTTTAGGTCACCAGGTACCTCGCAGCCCCAACCACCTTACTCAAGAAAGGAGCTGCTGAAGGGGGGCGGGGCAGCCTGGGCAGGAGGGAGGCAGGCAGCTGGGCCTGCTGGAATTTGGAAGGTGGAGGAGTTCGGCTACAACTAAAGCAGGTGAGAGAAATGGTGTCTACACTAACCCCACTACCCCCATGGGCACAGCAACTGATTGGATGGGGGTTCCCAGCAGAACTCCCTTTGCATATTCAATCCCCTGGGGACAGAGAGGGGGGTGTTGACTGGGCACTTGTTTCTGTTTCCCAAGGGGAGCATGGCCTGGGCCCCACCAGGATCCTGGGGGTGAGCCCTGAAAGTCCCAGTCCTGGGTCCAGGTAGGGAGAGGCTGGGCTGGTTGGGGGGAGGTGGCCCTGTGGTTCCGGGCCGGCCTCCGTGTTACTTCTTCTCCTTCTTGCCTGACTTCTTCTTGTTGCCGTTGCCGCCTGCAGGGGCCTTGCCGTCCCGTTTGCCCGCGGCGTTGGTCAGCGTGGCGTTGCTGCCGGGGATGTAGACGTTCTGGCGGTAGTCGGGCACGTGCTGCAGCGTGAACTGCGGCCCGTAGCGGGCGCTCAGGCCCATGGTGCCGGCGCCCCCGCCCAGCGTGGAGCTCCCGTCAGCGGCTTCTGCAGAAACAGAGGAGAGTCAAGGGCTAAGCTCTAAGCTCGGGGTCCCCAACAGTCACTCTCCTGCAGTACAAGCAGTTAATGAATGCCCACAGCGCCCCCAGCCCTGACCACGCTGAGCACCCGGAACACCGGCTCTGTCACAAGGGGTAGAGGTAAGGGGTCCTGGACTAAGGGCCTAGAGTTGATTCCTAGCTCTTTTACCTACTCACATAAGCTAAGGGCCTAAAAGACGCTAGCTGTTCCTTCTCTCAGGGCGGAGACGCTGGCTTTCAAACCCTCTCGAGGGGGTCTCTCTGGTTTCCACACTAGACTGTGGGCTCCTGGGGCCCTTCAGCCATGGCTTGTGCACCCTCTTTTCCTTCTCCAACCAGTGCCTGGCACAGAGTAGGCACCTCAGAGATCTGTCATTGCCGGAAGCGGGGAGCAGGTGCTCTTCCTGGCATTCGTTTCAGAACAGCAACCGCCGCCTGCTCTGCGCCGCCGCCACCGAGCGCTTTGCTAGATGGTGCACCGCACGACGGCTTCTACCCTCAGCACAGCAAGCAGTGAGGTGTGACGCTGCCCCACTTCACGGAGCAGGGACGCCAGGCTCCAAGAAGGTAGAAGACCAGCCCACGGCCAAGCCAGCCAGCACGGGTTGGAGCTGGAGTGAGGCCTAAGCGTGTGTAAGTGTGTGTAGGGTGCACGCCACCACCAGCAGCAGCAGGGACCTCAGAACTCCTCTCTGGATAAAGGAGAGGAGGGAAGACAGGATGAGCCGTCTTCCGCGGGGCTGAGTGGATGATGATCCCGGGACCAGACAGGCTCATAGTGTCGGAGCCAGGTGACATCAAAGACAGTGTCCTGCCCAAGAAGACATAGGGGTCCAGGGAAGTACAAACTCTGGCCCGGGTGCAGCATCACCTGGGAGCGCATTAGGAATGCAGGCTCTCTGAGTGGGCATTTTAACAGGATCTCCAGGCTGTCTGTATGCACGTTAAAGGTTGAGAAGCTCCCAAGTGGGCTTTTGTGAGGCTTAAATGAGACAGTGCTTCGCCCAGTGCCCAGACACTAAGTGTTCGCTGTGGCGACTGTCATCATCGCCATCCAGTGTGTCATCGCTGAGCACGTGTGTGGTAGGGGGAAGGAGCCAGGAATCTGATGGCTTTGGCTGAGCTCGCAGGGTAATGGAGCCTTCCGGAAAGGGGAGGGTTAAAGCCCTGGCTGACAGAGGAGCTCTCCCCTCGCCTCCCTCTGCCCCCACTCCAGACCCTGGGAGAGAGTAGAGAGGGTGACTAAAGTCTGGAGAAGCTGAGTAATCCTGGGACACCGACCAGGGATTGAGAAAGAGAGAGACAGGAAATATTTTCAAAGAATGGCATGCGGGGGGAGGGGCACAAGAGGAGGAAAGGAGGGATGAGCCTGGGTCTTTCCGCCTTCTCACTCCAGCGCTCAGGTTTCTACACGCTCAGTTTCAAACCCCCAATCCCTGGATCAGAGGACCTTTGGGGGGCGGGGGAGAGGGGTGGGAGGGACGGAGCAGCTGCCCACTTCCTTCTCTCCCTTCCTGCCCCCCAGCCCCTTCATTGCTTGGACATTTCTGTTTCCCCTAATTGACTCCAGGAGGGAGCTAGGACCTTGACTGCCGGCCCCCTCCCCTCCCACGATCTTTCTTCTTGCCCGAGGATGGAGGGGCTGGGGGAGGGGGTCGGACCAGCTTCAAGAGCCAGGATTCCAGAGCGATTGAGAGAAGAGCGAGAGCAAGAGAAACAGGGAGAAGGGAGGCAGAAACGGAAAGAAAGGAAGGGCTTGACTGGTAGCTGGAAGCCAGGCCCACCCACAGCCTCCATGCACCCAAGACCTCTGAGGAGCACCCAAGTGGGTGACAATGGCAAAGCCAGCCCCTGCCATGTCTTCCAGGAAGCGCAGGCCTGACCTGACCTTGGCTCAGGCCCTCTGGGGTGCAGCGGAGTCGAGCTGTGTGACTGTGACCCAGGCCTTGCACAACTCAGGCCTCAGTTTCCCCATCCACAAATCTGAGGGGGAGAAGTTGGATTGCAGGCTCTGGCCTTCCCTCGAATCAGTTCCCCAATGGCCCCCTTTCTCCCTGCACTGGGCAGGGACCAGGACCTTCCTTTGGTCCAAGAGCAAAAAGCTTTCTTGGTCAAAAAGCTTTGACAAGCAGCAAGAGTGAGCCTGGGCGCTGTCATCTTCGGAGGAGGTGGGAGCGGTGCCCGCCTCCTCTCCTGTCCGCCTCTCCTGGGGACCCAACCCCAGGCCCTGTAACCTGTAACCTGTAACCTCTAACATCCCCGTCCCGGGGCTAAGGGGCTAAGGGCAGCAACGCCTGAGCAGCCCAGCGAGGTCTGGTCAAGCTAGAGATGAACTGCAAACCGCAGGCTCCTTGAGAGCACACCTCCTCGCTGAAATGTTTATTTAAGAAGCCTCCCAAGCGTCCTGCTCTCTCCCTCTTAACTCACTCCCCTCAGCGGCCCCACAGGCCTGCTGGGCTGCTCTCCAGGAACCTCTCTGGCTCCAGGGCACGTGGGTGTGAAAGTGAAAGCGAGCCAGCGTGGGGCCTGACCCGACACCTCTGTCCTCAGGGTCTGTTCCCCAGGGCCCCGCTCACGCTCAGGTCAGGCCCCGTGTGGGCCCGAGGCGGCGTCCTGAGAGCGGGGGCCAGCCTGCCACCGCCCAGGGGAACTTCGAGGAGGGTTTGGAGCCAGAAATACTCCATTTCTGTTTTTAAAGTCTGGATTTAGGCTAGAAAGCCTGCTTCCTGGCCTTAGGACTCAGCACCACAAGAACTAAATATACCTGACTGTCTGTTTACTTCCCTCAAGAACCGGGCTTGGCGTCTCCCCAGCCGCAGCTGCCCGTCTCTTTCCTGCTCTGCATCTGGCCTCTCTGGGCCACTTCTAGCCCTTCCCAACCACAGCCCTGGCCTCTCAGTCTCACAGGCATCTGGGGGCAGCTGGCCAGATTTAGCAATGAAAACACAGGGCGCCCAGTTAAATATGAATTTCAGGTAAACAAGGAGAATTTTTTAGTGTTGTATGTCCGGATACTAACGTTTGGGGCCTACTTATGCTATATACTATTAATTGTTGTTTATCTGGAGTTAAGATTTAACTGACCATCTTGTGTTTTATCTGGCAACCCTAACCTGGGAGAATAACGCCGGGCAGTGAGAGTTGAGCCTCCTGACCTGTTCAGCTAAAGGGGAAACTGAGGCTGGATCTCAAGGCAGACTTGGTCATCGGAGCAGAAGGGGCATACACGTGGGAGTCGGGCCGGGTTCGAATCGCCAATCTGCGGCCTTGGAGAAGTGACTTCCCGGCTCTCTTGTCTGTCAAATGGAAGTAACTAGACCTGCCTTGCAGAGCTGCTGAGAGGGTGCGTTGCTGTGAGGCCCACAAAGTGTGTCTAACACGCGCCTGGGATGATACCCAGGAGTGCTTACGGCGACTGAGTTCGATTTTACCTGGTTTTCTAACCACCGGCCCCCCACGCACGAGGGTGGGGACTTCATTGCCGTGTAAAGCCAGCGCCCTAATCCCCCATCGGCCTCCGTGTGAGTCCAGGATTTGCTGCTCCAGGAGCTAGTCCTTATTAATAGGCATTATCCTAATTTTGTCTTCCCTCAACTCCTATGGATCAATAAAGATAATAATCGGCTTTGGCCACTACATATTGTACCCTTCGTCTCTGCCAATTCTGTGCCGAGGTCTTATATTGGGCCCTCACAACACCATAGCGAGAGCTGTTATTATTGTGCCCATTTCAGAGTCAGTGAAACCGAGGCCCAGAGGGGCTTCTGCCTGAGGACTCACGGTTAAAACAGGGGTGCCGGAAGTGAAATCCATGGTGACCTGCCGCCAAGCCTGTGCCCTTAAGTACTAATGATGTTATTCTACTTCCCCTGTTCAGGACCCTTGTGACTCTGTAGGGACAATGACCACCATCTGAATCCCTGTTGCATGAGAAGCTCTTTGTCCGCTGCGGGAGAGGAGCAAAGTCCTGCCCTGAAGGTCGGGTTAGCATCCCAGAGATAAGGTCTCACAGCCGGAGCCCGTTCCGCCTGCTGGGAATTCCCCCCCACCCCACGTCCACGGACTGCCTGGGGGCTTGCGCGTGCCAGACCGGTGCCTCCTGCGTTGCGGTATCATCTTTCATCCCCACGACAACCCTTTGAAGGTACTGCCCCCATTTTCTTGGCAGAGGAAACTGAGGTTTAAAGAGATGAAGCAAACTGATCAGTCACCGAAATCCTAAGCAGCTGAGGTGGGACTGCACTGACGCTGTTCCCTTCCAGAGCCAGGCCCTCAAACACTGCTCCCCATGTGTCCTCGAAGGGTCTTCCCTCGTTCACCCCACTCCGGGGAATCCCAGGACCCCCATCCCTCAGCTGTTCCCCAACTTGCCTTTATGTTCTGCAGTTATGAGTCCTCTAAAACCAGCAGAGAGATTCAGAGAAATCAGGCAGCTGGGTGCCAGCCTCAGGGCCTGGTGGTTGCGGGGAGTCCCAGAGCCCCAGGCCTGCCACCCCAGTGACTCGCCCCCCTGGCGCAACTCACCGCTGGCGGAGGCCAAGATCATCGCTTGCAGCATCTCTGTGTCAAACTGGTTGTTGGGCCAGGTGCCGGTTTCATCGCCATTTTGGGAGCTGAAGAGACAGAGAGAGAGACGGTGAGCACAGTGTCCCGGGCCAGCCTAGCTCCTGCTGCTCTTGTCCTCCCCCAGGGCTCCCAGACCGCGCACCCTATCCTCGCCTGACCCCCAAGGCCCGCTCCCCTTCCGCAAGGCAGGGGGTACTTTCTACAATCCTTCAGAAGCCGGACCCCCTTTGTCAGTCCCCCAAACCAGCTCTTCGCTGTCTCAGACATGCCTCAGACTCCTCGGCCCTGAGACAGAGCAAGATAGGCTGCGACTTGTCCATGACAGAGCAGTGCTTGCTGTCACAGCAAGGGGATCGGCCTCTCCCCAGGGCAGTGGAGGCGGGAAAAGGGAGAGAATGTGTCAGAGCTAGAGGGTGTGAGAACCCAGAGGAGAGAGGTAGGGGAGGCCGGAGGCTCCAGGGGACCCTGGAGCCGAGAGGCTTGGGAGCCCTGGGGACAGAATGCAGGGCACACAGGAAGAACCCGCCCCTCCCGTTTCACAAGAACACCTCCAAGTCCCTCCCAAACATCCACCGCCAGACTTTTTCAGATTCGCTTCCCTGACTCCTCAGGCTCTCCCTTACAGCAAAGCCTGGCGAGACACTGCTCTCTGGAACGCCAGCTCCGGCGCTCTGCCTTGGTAAAACCAACACGGTGGTCAGAGGTCGTGTGTGAGACTGCCTGCCTGCTTCCCCCTGCAGCGCCTGATTCGGCCCTTCGGGCTCTAAGTGTTGAGCAAAGCTCGGAGCGATTCATTACTGTGACAAACGCTAACCCGGAAAAGAGCCTGAAAGAATTCCAACCCAGCTTGGGTTTTTCCCAGAGTGATTATTTCCATGCTCTTTCGGAATTGTCAAGGATCAAATCATTTCCGCTTTTGAGGAAAGGGGGAAGTGCCCTGACACACACACAGTCTATTAGGCGCCCTGGAGTTCCCCCATAAATCTGTGTTGCCTGAGCTGAGTGAATGGAGATGGGCCTGTTGAGGGGGTGAGGTCACCGTGAGGGTCTGGCACCAGGGGAGGGCAGACCTTGAAACTAAGCGTGTGTGTGAGTGTGTGTGTGTCGGTATAGAGAGAGAGAAAACAGATGTGCAAAATATTAACAAATGATGTATCAAGGTAAAAAGACTACTCAGATGTTCATCATACTATCGTTTCAACTCTTCAGTAGGTCTGAAACGTCACAGAGTAAGAAACAGAGGGCCATGACTGCGTTATCCAGGAGAAGGTGTAGGCGGTGTGGGGGGAGAGAGCTTTCCTTGTGCAGGAGGTGACCGCCCTGAGGCAGGGACGGGCTGGGCCAGGTCAAAGGACTAAGGGAAAGCCAGTGTGGCCCCCACATGCAGGGAGGTGTCTTCGGGGGCTGTGACTGCAGAGCCACACTAAAGGTTTTGGTCTCTTGCCTAGAGCTCTGGGAAGCCATGAGGTGTTTGAGGGGGGTTGTTGTGACTGGATGGAAGTATCTGAAGACCACTCTTGCTCCTGTGAGAGGACCGAGGGCGGTTACCTCTGGGAGGACAGGGGCTCAGTGACGGGGCCTCAGCCGCCTCTGTCTCCATGAAAATCCCCAAGTCCTGCCTTGCAGCCTGGCTGAGCTCCCGCGCTGTCTGAGGGCTCAGGGTGCCGGTGGGCGGGCTCAGGCCTCGGCGAAGGGCCTCATGGGGACAGACTCGGGGAGCAGATGGTGGGGGGCAGCCCGGAGAAGAGCTCTGGGGCTGTGAGGTAGACAACAGGGTCAGATACCAGTTTAGGAGGACGCCTGGTAGAGGAAGGCAGTGGCGTTGAGGGAATAAAGGTAAGAGGAAGGAAGGGGGAGGGCGGGGCCGTAAGGAGGATTCTAGGGAAACAGTCAAATGTTGGAGGCCAAGCACACGAGCAGGCTGCCAGCTGCTGAACGCCGGGCAGGAAATGAGTGGATGACTGCTATATATATATAGGGTTCAGCCTCAGAACCCTAAGTGTTATGATGATTAGCCCTATTTTCCGGCAGATGTAATCAGGGCTCTGAGAGGTTGAGAACGGTTCCCAAAGTCACACAGCTGGGAACTGTGGAGCTACAACCTGAAATGGGCCTCATGGGACTCCAAAGCCGATGATCTTACACACAACATACTGGGCTTTGCAGGGCGGGCCCGGACCCCCAGCCGTAAGCATAGGGGACTTTCCCAGGATTTGGGGAACAATTAAAACATAAAAGGGAAGGAGAGAGACTACATCTTACTGACCATTTTGCAAGCACCCACCATGTGTCAGTGCCTGTGACAGGCCCTGGGCCTTAAGAGATGACAGATAGAGTCCTTGCCCCAAGGAGCTTGTGTCCTGGGTGCTGGCTGTGTGCTGGGGAGCATTCCAGGGCTGGGCTTTGGAAAAATGCTTCCCGAATCAGGCTCAAAACAAGAAGAAATCTGGGGAAGTCACCCTTTCAACAACCTGGATTTAACTGATAAAATGTAAATGCATGGGTCCACTTTCAATGTAGCGAAAGCCTATCTGCATTTAAACATACACATATACAGAGCTGGACAAAGGTAATTTTACAGTTGCTCACAAACTTATGGAAAGTAATATAACTGATAAATAATCATGAGAGAATAAGCTCTGTTTCATGTAGTCACAACTGTAAGCCTACCGTTGCCCTACCCTATATGTGGGGCAATTATGTAATAATTAAATGACTTCAAGAAATTTTTGTGGACATGTGGGAATTTTTGTTAAATATTGCAAAGACAGAAAAAAGCTACAATACCAATGAAGAGTATGACCTGAGTTACTGCAAAAAAAAAGAAAAGAAAAGAAAACATCCAAACAACAACAACAACAACAACAAAAAACTGGTGAGAAATATACCAGTTTACTGGGAATGAAAGTTCTCAGTATTCTCTGAAGAAATTCATAAACAATTTATATAAGTGAGTCATATTTTTTAAAAAAGAGGACGCCTATTCATGTTGCTTGACCGCACAAAGAAAAAAGGTTTAGAAAGATACATATGAAAGTATTAAAAGAGTTTAAGAGAGTTGAAATACTCAACCAAATACAAATCGGAGACCTTACTTTGGATAAGCATGCAAACAAGTTAATGGAAAAGAGAGATATAATTGGGAAAATGTGATACTAGTTTATTAATATTACTTATTACTAACATATTAATTTCTAGTTTGTTAATGTTTTTAGTGCTTACATGTTTAAAAAACTGTTAAAGATAGTGAAGACCGAGATACAGTTCTGTAATGGCTGTGAATGCTCAAGAGGGGGCGGGTGAAGGTAGAAAGCCAGATAGGGGATTAGTTGGAGCTGAATGATGGGCTCACAGAGATTCATGTTCTAATTCTCTTTACTTTTGTATAGATTTGAAATTTTCCATATTAAAAAAATTGTCAGTGGTGGTTTCCCTGGGTTGTGAAATTATGAGCACTTCAAAAGAGGTCTGCTCTCTCTGTCTCATGTTTCTATAATTAGCATGTATTATTTTAAAAGAAGAAAAAAAGTAAGCTGCTACTTGTTTGTCGATCACCATCCTGCCATCCCGCACTGAGGAGGGCGGGATGGTGTCTCTCAGAGGAGGGCGGGTAGGGGGCAGGGCCCTGTGAAAGCATCGGGGGAGCAAAGTGGGGACCGGGGAGGCTGAGCGGAGGTGCCCCGTCTGCGCGGGGGCTCAAACAGCTGCAGGGCGGGGCCTGAGTCCAGCCTGAGAAGGGAGGCCTGTCTCGTAGGATTCAGGCCCTGAGACTGTTGGGATCAGGAGCCAAAAGGATGACCTGAGGAGCGACAGTGGTGGGGAGGAGGAGCACCTGGCAGGCAAGAACGGCGACACTTGAGCCTTTCCCCTTCTGCCTGGGCAATGCGGCTGAGTGCTGGCTTGAACTTGAACCAGGTTTACCAAAGGACTAGCCCTGCTTTGAACCTGGTGTTCCAGCGGCCAAGATGGTGGGGAGGGAGGGGGCGGAAAAGCAGAGGAGGGCTGGGAGCAGGGGTAGACTCCAATTTACTCATCAGAATGGCAACGCAGAAAAAACTCCCTGTCATTCTGTCTTGAGATGCGCCCCCTGCCCCCGCCCCCGCCCCCCGCCCCACGCCACACACACACTGGGGCCTTTGCGCATGCTCCTCCCTGTACCGGGAAAGCTCCTATTCGCCCTCTGGTCCCAGCACAGCCTCGCTTCCTCCAGGTTGTCGACCTGCCCCCTGGTCAGGTCAAACCCCTGTTCTATGCTCTCGCTACCAGGTACTGCCCTTCATTGCATTTAGGACAGCCGCAATCACACTTCTTTTATTTATTTATTTATTTATTTATTTTTTTGGATTAACTGGTCAATGTTTGTCTCCCTCAACACTGTAAGCTCCTGAGGACAGCGAGCTGGCCTTCTTATATCTATGCCTGGCCTATAGTTGGCCTTACTGTTTATGGAATGAAAAAGGGAAGTTGCAGTTGCTGGACTGGGCCCTTAATGCTTCTTTCATCTGGGCCACTTCGGAGCTGAATCACAAGTGTTTGTCCCATCCCGCTCAAGTGAAGGATGGGCGAGCCTCCTCCCCACCCCCGCCCCCCACCTTCCCCACCTCCCCAAGAGCTCCTGCTTGAGTTCTGGCCACCCAGTCTCTCTTTTGATGGCAAGAAACTTGAGGCAGGGGTAAGGCACTCAACCCTGAGGGCACACACCGGAAGCAACTGGTTCATCAAGGAATCTTGCTTCAGGGGTAGTATATGGCCTGGGGTGGGGGTGGGGACAGGAGACACAAGTTGCCCTGTCCTCCTCATGCCTCAGCTCTCGTGCCACTTCCTCCTGGAGGCCTTCTCTATCCCCTTCTGCCACCACACTCTCATTATCCTCTTCTTCTCCGAACTTGCTGTGATTTTTGTGTGTGATTTGCTGTCAGTTTCCGGCCTCCCTGCTGGCATGAAAGCCTATGAGTTCAAGGATCACATCTGCTTGTTCAGTCTTAGAGGCCACTGTTTTGCACGGAGACTGGCTCATAGTAGATACTCAATAAATATTTTTGACTGAGTATATGAATGAATGCATGAATGATCTAATGCATAACTCATGGGAAGGCCGGCAAGGCCAGTGGGGAGAAGGGAGACAGCTGAGTGCAGAGGGGGGCAAGGGCAGTCCAGCTCCTCTGGTTTGTTGCCTTCTAGGAAGTGCCTTGAGATCCTGATACCAGGGACAGGACTGCACCTGCCCAGGAGCTGGAGTCTGCACCCTACACCAAGGGCTCCTAGGTCCTTGCGGCAGCGAAGGCTCAGCACCTGTAGCATCTGGGGAAATGCCGGCAGCAAGAGTCTGGCCAGCGAGGGGGCAGGGAGGGCAGTCCAACCCTGCCTCCCTCTTTCTCCAGGGATCCCTGGACTCCTCCAGCCTTCTGACTTCTAACGGGGAGGCCTGGCCCCAGGCCCATCCCACTCCCCTCAGACCAACTGAAGGTCTTTCCGCTGAAGTTTCCCTCCTCTTCCACCCACAGGGGGTTCCTGCCTCAGCAGGAATTCATACCAGATTGAAATGAGCAGCTGGGGTAGCCTAGATGAGAGGGCGTGAGTTGGAAAGCGTTGATCAAAGGCTCTGTGTGTGAGGGGCACATGGAGGGAGAGAGGTGGGGACACGTGTGTGTGCTGGCTTGCCCCCAAGTACAAAGAAATGAGAGACAGACAGGGTCGCCAAGTTAAAAACAGGACAAAAGAGAGACAGAGATAAAGAAAGAGAAACAGAGAAAGAGACTCTGAGGCAGAAAGAGACAGACAACAGACTTAGAGAGAGAGAGACTGGGAAACAAAGGCTGGAGACAGAGGAGCATGAGGACACTAGCAAAGGATGAAAGGAGAGACAGAAAAGAGATCAAGGGTGGAGACAGGGAGGTGGAGACAGAGAGGTAGAAACAGAGAGAAAAGAGAAACAGACTGAGACTAGGAAGTCACATTTATTCATTGATTCCACATTTATTGAGCACCTAGCCGTGGTAGGCTCGGTGTGAGGCACAGGTCAACGCAAGTAGACACAAATGGTAGGGACAGAGAGGCAGCAATAAAGAAAGAAACAGATAGAGACCGAGAAAAAGGTCAGAGGATGTAAACTGACATAGAAACTGAGGGAAGGGTGCAGAAATAAGAGAGTGGCAGAGACAAAAGGCCTACAGGCTGAGAGGGCCAGACCCGAGGGGGTCTGAGGGTGGCCTGGAGGAGGGACAGAGCCAGGGAGACCCATGCCAGGCACCCTCTTTCCTCAGCCCCACCTCCAGCCGCGCTGTCCCCACGTCCCCGGGACTGCCCGACCGAGCTCCCCGGCTCTCCTCCGGGCAGGCTCCTCACAGCTCCTCCCCTCCTCCGGCCCCAGGTTTCTCGGCCTGAACCCCAGGTCAGAGGGGAGCCCAGCTCACCCCAGAGTGGAGGCGGTGTAGGCAGTAGATGGGCATAATGAGCTTCCTCTCCACCCAGAGACCACCTTAAAACCATCTCTTGGTCCCACAGAAGCCCCCCGGAGATGGGACAAGGTTCCCGCGGTGGGAGAAGGGAGGGGATGAGTGCGTGAACTGAGTTTCCAAAATAGCCTCTTCCTTCTGGAATCTGCGTGACAACTCCCAATACACCAAAACCTTCCTGAAATCTGGAACTGAGGGAAGAAGCCATTTGTAGCAAATGCTGAGCCCTCCCCTCTCTCCTCCCACGTCATCGCTGAGAAAATGCCGCAGAGAAGAGGGTGGGCTGGAGAGGCAGTCACCTACCCGCTGGTGCCGGGTCTCTGGGCCTGAGAGAAACGCCAGTCCGTGTTGGGCGGGGCTTGCTGTGGAGAAAACAGAGGGAAAGGGGCTGAGTACCCTGGGGAAGTCAGAACGTCACGGCCCCTGGGGAAGGGCCCGGGGGGAAGGAGGGGAGCGCACACAGAGAAGAAACTGGCGTGGGGTGGGGGAGGGGTAGACTCGTCTTCAAAGACAAAATATACCTCAGGTCTCAGAGGTCTGAGATACACACAGGAAACAAAGAGATAAAATGACCTGTATCTGGCCACAATGAGCAAACCCAGATTCTTTTGCTAACGAAACAGCCCCTTCCTCTTGTCCCCGGACTCAGAACTTCTGAGCTGAGATTCAAGGGCTAAAAGTGTCTTCTGCAGAACGGGGCGGGGGGTGTGTGCAGAAAAGGCCCCCCAAATTGGCAGAAGAGGCTTTTAGATGAGAGTTCCACCAGCCCTAGAAAGAATTCATTCAGCTGCTCAGCTGGGAACAAAGCATCCTCTGCAGCAAGATGGCTGCTCCTCCGGGTAACCCTTTTCGTGCCAGGTTGGGCTGTAATACACTCAGAGGGACACCTCCTCCAGGCCCTTGGCAACCAAGGATCCCTTCCCACAGCTAAATACATTATTAATTTAGGAGTCATGCCAGACTGGGCCTTTGCAGGGCATCCAAGCCCCAGGACACTTCTCACCCCAAGAACTCCATGCCAGACAACGACTGTGTCTAAGGAGGAGAGAACAAGGCTGCTCTGTCTGGGACAGAAAACTGCTGGATGAAGCCCAGCAGAGATCAAGCTCCCACAGCCTCCAAGAAGAGCCAACAGAGTCTCTGGGGCTCCCAGGGGGCTGCTCTTAGCCATCCCCCATCTGGATGAAGGTGCGGGACTCTGGCCAGCCTCCTCACTCCCGAGACCTCCTGGCCTTTCCCGGAGGGTGTGCTATCCCGCCGCACACTCTCAGGAGGCACTCCTTGCGCCACTGCCTCACCAGTTCTGGGGTGTGCGAGTAATTAATTCTCACACTCACTCCCAGGAGCAGAGAAGGAGGTGTGAGCATCTCTGATTACACTGGGGAGAAGGAAGACCCACGGCTGCCAAATGACTCGTTCTGAGGCTCACAGGTGGCAGTGATGTGAGCAGAACCGGAAACAAACGTAGCGTCCCAGGTGCAACAGTTGTCAGCGACACCGTTCCAGGGCCGCCGTGGGGGAGCGCACACGGAAGGCCAGCCTTCAGCCGGTGTTTTTGAAGCTGCTGCAGAATCTGCACAGAGAGGCAGGTGCCCCCGGCAGACTGGAGGAGAGGAGCTGGGCAAAATTCAAAACCTGCCAAAGGATTTTGCCGGGGTCAGGTTTACTCAGGGCTGCTCGGGGCGGAGGAGCCCCTGAAGGCTTTTCTCCACTTGTCAGACCCACTTCTGCCCCATCCCAGCAGAGCGAACCGTCCCTACTGTCCTCCAGGTTTCCAGTTTCCTAGTTCTTCTGATGGCAGGCAGACCCGAGTTAGGTCTTTCTCTGTCACTTGCCATGAGAACTTGAGCAAGTCACATGACCTCTGTGAAACTCGGTCACACGCTGGGGATGATAGTGCTGTTCCAACAAAAGTGTTGGGAAGAGCAAATGAGATGTGGTTCTCAGAGGAGGCGTGTAGTAAGACTATCAGCTAACAGAATCACATGGGGCTGTTGTTTCAAAATATAATTGATTCAGTGGGGGCAGGGTGGCGCACAGATCTATTTTGAATAAAAGCTCCTGGGACGGTGGCGACTTGTGCTTTTTACTATTATAGTTTCCCCACTTTTGAGGGCATCCTGGCATCTGGTGGAGGCTGTGGCTTTCCATCAGCCAGAGAAGGAAGGATGTGTCAAAGTCTCAGATACTTTGGTCACCCCCGAAAGCCTAGATCCTAGATTGCTGGACACATTGTGGTCACGACGGAGCCAAAGGCCTCTCTCTGCGGGTTCAGAGACCGGGTGCGGCAGGCTCCCACTTCCCGCGAGAGGACCGGGCTGTGGGTGGCACGGAGGTCCCAGGTTGCTGGTCCTGTAGCGGCCTGCTCACCCGCCCAGGCCGAGCCCTGTCGCCCCTTCAGGGTCCCAGGGCAGCTCGGCCCATTTGTCGGGAGCCTCTGGGCTGGCGGCGCCGCTGTGTTCCCGGCCCAGCCCGACCGGCCGACACGAGGGTCATAGAATCCCGCCAGCCTGCGCCTAGAGCGCCCCCATTCGCTCCCGCGCTCAAGGTGTCTCAGCCGGCCTCAGGTTCACCCCCAGGCGACCCGGTGCGGCGACCTGGGACTGTGGCCAAGGCGCGCAGTCAGCGGTGAGTACCTCTGAGGCTGTGAGGGGGTGCGGGGGCAGAGGGCCTGCAAGCCCGAGAGCGAGGGCGTGTGTACAGGTGAGGCGCGGCGGGCCGCTGAGTGGTGGCTTGTGCCGGGAGGACACGCTGGAGCCCTGTGCGCGCACCTCTGTCCTGTCTACGGATGTTTGTTTGATATGGGAATAATGAGGGCCGAGAATAACAGCGAAGTCCCAGATCCAGCGAGTGGGTAGCAATTTAGGAAATCTAAAGGGCGGCGGAACGTGCGGGCGCCGGAGCTTAGGGGGCTGGGTGTGGGCGTGGATCCGTGCCTCCACCCCGGACCCCCGGCCGCGGCGGAAATCATTGGCAAGATCGCCCAGCCCCAGGCTTTTCTGAGTTTGGGGGGCGGGGTTAGGGGCGGCTCTATTCCCCCCTCGGACACAATCACCACCACCTCCCGGGGCTCAGAGCCCCCTCCCTTGTTCGGCCACACCTCTAGTCCCGCGCAGTCCGTCCAAAAGGTCCCGACAATCGGGTGAAACGCAGCTAGCAGCCGAGCCCGCGCGAGAGGAGTAGGTGGAAGTTCAAAGCCCCTAAGTGGATGGGCGGCTCCACTGCCGCCCCCAGGGGTCGTGCCAAGCCCCTCACCTGGCTTGGCTCCCGCAGCGTGTTAGAGCGGGACCGGAAGGCGTCAGGCTCCAGCGCCAGAGCTGAGGACTGCTGGACGCTGAGGGGCCTTAGAAAAGTGAAGTCACTGCCGTCCGAGGCTGGTGAAAAACACGTCCTGTAGCAATGGCTCTGCGAGTCTGCGGGCCGCAGCGTCACCTCCATGTACTTGAGCGTGCCGTCTGAGCTCACCTGGAGGTTGGGACTGGACTGCTTATAGTAGTCCCGGGAGGGTGACTCCTGGCGCCCGCAACACTGGCCCCCACCCCCATCCCCATCTGCGTGTCCCCGAAGGCACTTAGCTGACAGGAAGGTGAAGGTGACTAAGGATAACAGACTGATGGCTGCAAGGGCCACAATCAGGTAAAGGGTAAGGTCTGACCGCTCAGGAGGGTGTGTGAGGAAGTCGCTGGATTTGGGCATTTCCTCAGGGTCCTCATCCTCCAGAACCAGCAGGACTGTGGCTGTAGAGGAGAGTGAAGGGTCACCATTGTCCCTCACCAGGACCACCACCTGCTGGGTGTCAGAGTCATCCTCCAGCAAGGCCCGGGCTGTGCGCACCTCACCCGTGTGTGCGGAGACCAAGAAGAGTCCTGGGGCTGTGGACTGTGGCAGCAGTGAATAGGAGAGCCACGCATTGTGGCCTGCATCAGCATCCACGGCTGTCACCTTGGTGACCAAGGAGCCAGGAGGCGCAGAGCGAGGAAGACGCTGGGGGACTGAGAGTTCCCAGCCAGGTCTTGGGTGGAGCACAGCTGGGGCATTATCATTCTGGTCCAGGACAAACACATGCAGAGATGTGTTGCCATGCAACGGGGGAGAGCCGGAGTCTCGAACCCCCACCACAATGTGCATCATCTGCAGCAATTCGTAGTCAAAGGTGCGCTGAGCAAAGACCCGTCCGTCTTCAGGATTGACGTACACAAAGGAGGAGGCTGGGGCTCCCTGAATCTGATTCCCTATAATGGAGTAGGTGAGGCGGGCATTATCCCCAGAGTCTGGATCGGAGGCAGCCACAGTGCAGAGAAGGGAGCCGGGAGGCCGATTTTCTGGGATGTAAGCAGTGTAGAGCTGCTGGGTGAAGTAGGGGGCATTGTCGTTAACATCTGAAATGTTGAGCCTGACGGTGAGATGTGCGTGCAGGGGAGGTGAGCCAGCATCACTGGCCAGCAGCTCAATGATATAGTGGGATGTGGCCTCACGGTCCAGGGGCTGGCTGGTTAGCAGTGAGTAGTGGTTCTCAGAGGGCTTAATCTGAAATGGCAGGTCTGGAGAGATGTCAAGGCTCACTTCACCATTTCTCCCCGAGTCTCGGTCCCGCACATTAAACAATCCCACTACTGTGCCCACTGGTGTGCTCTCCAGGACAGGGTTGACCAAAGAGGCCAGTAGTACCTCTGGGGCATTGTCATTGGCATCCCCCACATCCACCTGAATCACACAGTGGCCCTCCATGGCTGGCTGTCCCTGGTCACGGGCTCTGGCATGAATTTCATAGAAACTTGCCTCCTCAAAGTCTATGGGACCCAACACACGGATTGCTCCACTGCTAGGGTCCAGGCCAAAGAGATTCCGCACTGCCTCAGATGTATGGTCTCCAAAAGAATAGTCTAGTTGGCCATTGGTGCCCTCGTCTGGATCAGTGGCATTGAGGCGGAGCAGCAGTGTACCCATGGGGGCATTCTCTGCGAGTCCCACGCGAAGAACTGAGGACTGGAAGGTTGGAGCATTATCATTGATGTCCAGCACAATGACAGAGATAAGGGTGGTCCCTGAGCGGGCTGGGACACCCCCATCCACAGCAGTGAGCACCAACTGATGTTTTGCCTGGGTTTCGCGGTCCAGCTGCTGCTCTAGCACCAGCTCTGGGAATAGCTTCCCATCTTTTAGGGTCTTCACATTCAGTGAGAAGTGGTTGTTGGGGCTCAGAGTGTAGAAGCTCACAGTATTGGTGCCCACATCTGGGTCCTGGGCACTATCCAGAGGGAATCGGGCCCCAAATGCAGCTGATTCTGAGATGCGTATCTCCCGCTCAGGGGTGGCAAAGCTAGGAGAGTTGTCATTGAGATCCAGGATCTCTACCTCTACC